TATCCCAGAGGGATAGAGACAGCAAATGTTGGAAACATAAATAGAAAACACAACTAGATGGAAATAATATGAGGAAATAAAGTCAGCAAATCGACAGGATGTCGGAACAGAAAAAAACAACATGTTAAGCCAAATATACTTTTATTCGCCATATATGTAACAACACGATCAGTGGATATAACATCATTTTGTTTTAAAAATGATATATTTTGCACAAAGTTGTCGCAAATCATTTGTGTGAAATGCTCATTTCACACAAGAATAACTAATGAGGATGTTCCCAGTGTTTGTCTTTTCTTTTAGAATCAAAAATGAATTTTCCAGTGTACTAAATGCATGTGCTCGCGGCCAGAGTAAATGACTACGCTCATGTCATATTTAATGCCCACACACCTAATTTTAATGATTTTTAAAGGTACACTATATTGCCAAAAGTATTGGGACGCTTGCCTTTACACACACATGAACCTTAATGGCATCCCAGTCTTAGTCCGTAGGGTTAAATATTGAGTTGGCCCACCCTTTGCAATTATAACAGCTTCATCTCTTCTGGGAAGGCTGTCCACAAGGTTTAGAAGTGTGTCTATGGGAATGTTTGACCGCTCTCCGCTATAATTCATCCCAAAGGTGTTCTTTCGGTTGAGGTCAGGACTCTGTGCAGGCCAGTAAAGTTTCTCCACCCCAAAATCACTCATCCATGTCTTTATGGACTTTGCTTCGTGCACTGGTGTGCAGTCATGTTGGAACATGACTGCACGTAGTTCCCACAAAGTTGGGAGCATGGAGTTCTCCAAAGTGTCTTGGTATACTAATACCTTAAGAGTTCCCTTTACTGGAACTAAGGGGCAAAGCCCAACCCCTGAAAAACAACCCCACAGCATAATCCCCCCTCCACCAAACTTTACACCTGATAGAATGCAGTCAGGCAAGTACTGTTCTCTTGGCAACCGCCAAACTCAGACACATTCATCAGATTTCCAGACAGAGGAGCGTGATTTGTCACTCCAGAGAACACTTCTCCACTGCTCTAGAGTCCAGTGGTGGCGTACTTTACATCATTGCATTGCATTGCACTTGGTGATGTAAGGCTTGGATGCAGTTGCTCGGCCATGGAAACCAATTTCAGCAAGCTCTCTATGCACTGTTGGTCTGCTAATCTGAAGGCCCCAAGAAGTTTGTAGGTCTTCAGCTACTGACTCTGCAGATAGTTAGTGACTTCTGCGAAATCTGCGCTTAAGCATGCGCTGACCCCACTTTGTCATTTTACATGGCCTACCACTTTGTGGCTGAGTTGCTGTTGTTCCCAGTTGCTTCCACTTTGATATGATCCCACTAACTGTTGACCATTGAATATTTAGTAGCAAGCAAAATTCAGAGAAGGACTTATTGCACATGTGGGAACCTATCACGATACCACACTTGAATTCACTGAGCTCCTGAGAGCGACCCGTTCTTTCACAAATGTTTGTAGAAGCAGTCCGCATTCCTAGGTGCTTGATTTTATACACCTGTGGACATGGAGGTGATTGGAATACCTGAATCCAATAATTCCAATAATTTGGAGGGGTGTCTGAATGCTTTTGGCACTATAGCGTATGCTTAGAGGATACCCAGCTAATGCCCCTGGAAATCTCTGAATTAGGCACTACTACTCCAGTAATCTCCACTTGTTTCTGAGTCCAGCACTAATTGACTTCCCTGACACATAGGGGATTTGCCACTTGCCATGGGCACAAGACCTGGAAGTAAGTGAAGATCACTAGAGTAGTGGTGTTTACACCAAAGATTTCCAGCTTCCAAGGCAATAGCCAGGTATGGTATTTAACTGGACCAATATAACTATATATGAACTATCTATATCTTTATTTCTTATCCATATCTATTTTAAATGGGTTTCTGTTGAGGAGAGCAAGAAAATTATTTGCTTTAAAGTAGATCTAAATCCTAAGGGCTTATTCACACCTACGCATTGTACTTATACACATTGTCCCAATGCACTAAAACAGCAGCAGGCAGCATATCTATGCTGCAAGCTCATCAATTCACACACACGTGTTGTAACCAGGGGTGAACTGACAACTCATGGGGCCCCCAGGCAATAGGGGATCATGGGGCCCCTGTGTCCTTGCCCAAACTTAAAAAAGCCTATGAAAAAGGTACCAGGGCATCTTATGGGGCCCCCTACTGATCCCGGACCCTCGGGCAGTGCCCGAGTTTCCAAATGGTCAGTCCACCCCTGGTTGTATGGTTGTAACACACTGTTTTAGAAAAAGATGGGTCAAGCAAATTTTGCCTGTGTGTGTTGGCAGCCAACTCAAAATGAATGCACTACCTTCACCCAATGAACATTAACATGAGACATAAGGCATTTCTGTTAACACAACACAATGTAATACCTCTGTCGTGCTCACCCCTAAAGCACGTGGTCAGGCACTATAGCTGGCTTCTATCCTCTCCACCTTTTCCATATGGCAAACAGATTTACAATATGTATATGGCGCAAACCTAAAGTAAAACACGTGGAATATAACCAGTAGCCGATAAAATGTGACAAGTCCATGTAAAGTCCATAAATAACTTAAAAGTCCATAAGAAACACCTAAAGGCAGCTCCACCAAGAGACTGGAATATATATCTGCAGAAATAAAGAACACAAGGGAGCGCCTCTAAGTGCAGTATTAAGAAGTAATTTAATGTGTGAAGAGAATTAAATGCCTAGAATTAGATGACGACCATAGCCATTCTGCTAGCCACTCTGATGATGGTGTGTTGGCATCAGCATCCAGGGTCAGGTGAAGCCTAAAACGGGATGGACATCAGCGTTCTATGGGAGGCACCAGCTCCCAGAGATGGAGAAAACTGCAAAGAGCAAGGAGAGAGAGACGACATAGAGGACAGCACCTTTATTCTTCAAACCCCTGTGATGGGCACCCCTGCTATTGGGCACACAAAGGTATACTATGGCTACTGGGCTATTAATATTCCTGGCTATGTTATCTTTCGGAGATAAAGGATAAAAAGGAAAGGTGGTGGTGTCTGTCTCTATGTGAGAAGTGATCTCAGAGCGAGTGTGAAAGAGGACTTAGTTGATGGAGAGTGTGATAAGGCTGAAGCATTATGAGCTGGAACTGCACATGGGGGTGCATGTTACAAAGGTAATCATTGGAGTTTTATAGACCTCCCAGTGTTAATGAGAAGGAGGAGACTCAGCTCCTTGCACAGATCGAAAGGGCTGCAAGGGCTGGGACAGTGATAATAATGGGGGATTTTAACTACCCAGAAATTGACTGGAGTGGTACTGCAGGAACAGTTAAAAGGAAAAAATGTATAAACCTACTTCAGGACAATTTTTTGGTACAGTTCATAGAGGCCACAACTAGGAATGATGCTCTGCTGGACCTGGTAATCTCAAACAATGCAGAGCTTATTACGAATGTCCATGTAAAAGAACATCTGGGTAGCAGTGACCATAACATGATTTCATTTATTGTTAGTTGTAAACATCAAGCACATACGGGAAAAATAAAAACACTCAACTTTAAGAGAGCTAATTTTCCAAGGCTAATAGCTGCTCTTCAAGACTTAGACTGGGAGGGAATATTGGCATCGATGAACACAACAGAGAAATGGGAGTTCTTCAAAAAGACTGTATGCGAAGACACTGCAAAATATATTCCCATGGGCAACAAGTTTAAAAGGCTAAAAAATCAAACCTATGTGGCTTACGGCCAAAGTTAAAAAAGCTATAGATAATAAGAAAAGAGCTTTTATTAAATATAAAAATGAAGGACAGATTGCAAAAGATGGCAGGACCAACCCCCAAAAATTCAGCATGTAGGCCCTTTACAAAATAATCTAGAGTGGGTGACTGGGGACAAAGAGAAAGCAAATGTATTAAATACCTTCTTCACCTCTGTGTATACAAAGGAGCATGGGGGAGCTCTTGTCCATAATGGGGATGATATTGACACAGCCCCAGATGATCCACATTAGCTCACAACTGATATGATCCAAAAATATTTAGGCAGAATAAAGGTGAATAAAGCACCTGGACCAGATGACAAACACCCACAGGTCCCTTAAAGAATTTCTCATTTCTCATTTTTAGGAACTCTTAATGACTGGCATAGTACCACTGGATTGGCGTAAGGCCAATGTGGTGCATTTTATATACTATATTTAAAAAGGGGTCAAAATCTTTACAGTTTATAAATTTAACTATTGTGAAAAATTGGTAAACTGAAACAAGGTTTTCCATAGGAAGCATTGAAAACCAATTATAATGCATTCCGGAGGTCCATATAAAAAAGTAAAAAAAAGTATTTTACCGTCGTACTAAAGTAATAGACCTGTTAGTTTAACTTCTAAATCCACAAGTTTTTACCACTACTATTCCTCTAAATTGGCTTTTGGAATTTATAAATGCAGCAATTTAGAAACTGGATTAAAGGTTTACCACTGCAAAGTGCACTTTAAAGGCACGGGGCTGGTGCTACCAAAACGCTTTGTATTTCAAAAAATTTTTTTAAACTGAGGTATTATTTTCAACGTATTTTCATTCGTAAACTGAAAATTGCGTTAACTGAGGCGTTCGGAAACCAAGGTATGCCTGTAGTCATGAAATCTGGGTTTGTAAATAGATTAAAAATTACTTTTGAAATTGCATCAAAACTTGCACAAGAAAACTACCATATCTTTCGCTCCATAAGACGCACTTTTTTCCCCCAAAAAAAGGGGGGAAAATGTCAGTGCGTCTTATGTAGCAAATATTGAGCAGCCGGTCCAGTATTTCCGCCGCCGCCGCCATGTCAGAATACCGGGCCAGCCGCTCAGCTCTTCTCTCCTGCAGGACCTTACCTGTTCCTCTGTCCAGCCCTGTACAGTCTTCCCGCGCCGGCTTCTTTCCGCGTCGGCTTCTGTGACAGCCGAGTGCCCACTGTGCATGCGCGAGAAGCGCTGCGCTTTGTGAATGGTCCGGCGACGTCTGGGACACATGACAGGTCCCAGAAGGCGCCGGGCCATTCACAAAGCGCAGCGCTTCTCGCACATGCGCAGTGGGCACCCGGCTGTCACAGAAGCCAGCGCGGGAAGAAGACAGCTTGCCCACACTATAGAAAGGACAATTTCAGGTACCCGCTCCCCCTCCCTCCCCAAAGGTCCGCAGTCTCTTGGTCATCTCCTGTACTGTGTCCGCAGTCTCTGGTCATCTCCTGTACTATGTCCGCAGTCTCTGGTCATCTCCTGTACTGTGTCTGCAGTCTCTGGTCATCTCCTGTACTGTGTCCACAGTCTCTGGTCATCTCCTGTACTGTGTCCGCAGTCTCTGGTCATTCCCTGTACTATGTCCACAGTCTCTGGTCATCTCCTGTACTATGTCCGCAGTCTCTGGTCATCTCCTATACTATGTCTGCAGTCTCTGGTCATTCCCTGTACTATGTCCGCAGTCTCTGGTCCTTCTCCTGTACTATGTCTGCAGTCTCTGGTCATCTTCTGTACTATGTCCGCAGTCTCTGGTCCTTCTCCTGTACTATGTCTGCAGTCTCTGGTCATCTCCTGTACTATGTCCGCAGTCTCTGGTCATCTCCTGTACTATGTCCGCAGTCTCTGGTCCTTCTCCTGTACTATGTCTGCAGTCTCTGGTCATCTCCTGTACTGTGTCTGCAGTCTCTGGTCATCTCCTGTACTGTGTCCACAGTCTCTGGTCATCTCCTGTACTGTGTCTGCAGTCCATTGGTTCAGAATATGTTTTTTCTTGTTTTTCACCTCTAAAACCTAGGTGCATCTTATGGTCAGGTGCGTCTTATGGAGCGCGAAATACGGTAGTTATTAGTTTAAAAAAAATACCAACTTTATGTTATGATATATATGTTATATATGTTTAAGCGTCAGATATTTTTGAAAAATCATTAAACAAAATAACAAATCAATTTCGGATTACACCACAAATAACACTGTAGAAAACTTGACAAACATGCTTAAAGCAATCCTTTCTATTGGCGCTTTATAAATACTGTATATAATAATAATAATGTCAAAGATGATTTGTTCAGTTTCTAAACAGCTCACCATTGTATATTCAGCAAACTCTTGAAATCTGTCATCCCAGACTCACCACTTATTCCACCACACGGCACCATTAACTTGAATCTTGTACAGGATAGAGAGGTGACACAAGGCTGTCAATCACACGTTAAAGACACCTCTGCCCATCCTGTAACAGTCTAATGTCACTGCATACATCTGAGGCTGGGGGAGAGGGTGGTTAGGGAAGGAGAAGAGTTTTATACTACCGGGATGCTTTAGCGGTTTCATCAAAGTTTAAACCATAGGAATCAAAAGAGATAATTGTAGACACCTCTGGCTGTTGTCCTCCCTAGGCCCTTTATGTGACAGCGCTGGGTGCTTGAACAGCCAATCGCTAAGTTCCAGTGCTGAAAGGCACCTTGCTAGCCTTGGACCAGTGATGGAGATGTAGAGTTAGCGGGGGCCCTTGTATAGACCCTGCACTTCAGCAACCTAATTATGACATTTAAAGGATGCATATTTTGGATACTTTCTGAAACTTTCTGTGTGTATAATCAATGAACACAAACAAATATCCCTAATTTACTCAGCTACACCAAGTGACCAAAAGGTTGCAGGCACCTGACTATCATGCCTACCCATATGACCAAAAATATTTGCATGTTCTTCGATTTAATTTTTTTTCAGGCGTTTCAAGTACTGGTAAAGGTTTACACCACTTTCGTGGAAAAAATGCAGGAAAAAAATAATGCATATGTAATTTATAGACAAGCCATATTGTAATTTATGATATTAAGAATGACCTTTCCTTTTCAAAATGCAGCCAGCTGCTGTAATTTTCTGTAAAATTCAATGAAATATGGCAACCTGTTTAAATAATGTGAACCAGTGCTCTGGATGTGATCTCTTAATTCACCACAGCTGCTGTACCAAGTGCTATACTAATCGTATCAACCCTTATATACTGTACAGCTCTATTGGTTTTTGTTTAACCTCCCTGGCGGTCTAACTAATTAATATTTTTGAATGTCAAAGTGGTACATTGTTTTGCATGGAAATTTGTTGTTTTTTATATTGTAGGTCTGTAATTCTTAGGAATAACTCACTTAAATCTGTCCGAACAAGAGTCTAGTAAACATCCCGGGTATGATAAAGTTTGAAACACGAAATCATAAATTATAATATAATAAATAATTATAAAAAATAATAATATAATAATAATACATTTAATTCAATAATGTAATCAAACCAAAAACACTGAAATTTGAAATAGAGCGCCAAGTTTGCACATCACTGAGCTCAGTTGCAGAATCGTTTTCAGTGTCTGATGACGAATTTCCCCACGAATCATTATCACTCAATTCTGCAACTGATTCTAATTCACTATCACTGTTCTCTAGCTGGTCTAAACCGCTTTTGACCTAAAGGGACGCTTTTTGGATGCCATGGACGTTCTCAGGTTTCCAGGCAGAAAGAACAGTAAGAGTGCAGGCAGGGCACAGGACAAAGCACTAGGGACAACATTTAGGTGAAATGGTACAGTTTGATACAGTAAAGTAATACTAAGAGATTACAATGTATTGTGTGTATGCCATATTTTAACTTTTTTTAATCTCCCGCCAGTTCCACCCCCCTACATCCCGACGCTCGCAGGCAAACAGAACCAGAGAGACGGATGCCAGCATCGGCTGGAGGACATGGCCGGGGACACAGCGGGAGGACATCATGGGATCGTAGGACAAGGTAAGGATCGGGGGATCACAGGAGAAGCACTATAGTGTGGCTCGGGGTTACCGCTCTTGGTACTGTAAATTAACCCCGAGCCACACTCGGGATTACCGCTAGGAAGGTTAAACACGTGCAATAAACAAGCATAGTCTCTACAATGCTCATATCCTCAAATAAAAATTAAACATGATTCAATAAAGTGTCCTTTGTGCTTTAATAAAGTCTCTCTGTGCATGTAAAGTGTCCAAGTGCTTTTAGTTGTTCACAGTATAATGCTACAAACGTATTAAAGTGTCCGTGCTGAAAAAGATGCTCCATTTCCACCAATCAGTGCCATAGTGTTCCGGAAATCCTCCACCATAAACACAGAACACTCTCCAGCAGGGGCGGACTGACAACTCATGGGGGCCCCCGGGCAATTGGGGATCATAGGGCCCCTGTGTCCTTGCCCAAACTCAAAAAAGCCTATGAAAAAGGTACCAGGGGCATCTCATGGGGCCCCCTACTGACCCCGGGCCCTCGGACGGTGCCCGAGTTTCCAAATGGTCAGTCTGCCCCTGCTCTCCAGATTTCTATGACTACCTATCACAGGTGAGTCATACAGCCCTTAGTGTCATGGATAACCACCATCAGCCTTCTTCTTGGACCGGCTGCACTCTTTCCTTTTATATGTCTCACACAACATGTAGGGAGAGATGGAGGGAGACTACCATAGTGTGAAATATTTGAAACCTTTTATTTCTTCAAAACCATTTCCACAATGCCCACTCACATTGTTAAGTGCATACCTACGCCTTGGGGCATAGCAGGAAGGGACGTCATCCCACACAGCGACACCGGAAGTGGTTAATACAGGACAAGGAAAGCCTAGAGACAGATCTGTGTCATCCCTCTGCTTATCATGTAACATGCGATTTTATCCTGGTGCAAGGGTATGCACCTAACAATGTGAGTGGGCATTGTTAACCACTAGAGCTCCTGAGGATTTACCCCCCTTAATGACCAGGCCTCTTTTTGCTACTCAGCGCTGCACTAATTCAACTGATAAATGCGCGGTCATGCAATGCTGCACCCAAACGAAATTTACGTCCTTTTTTTTTCACACAAATAGAGCTTTCTTTCGGTGTAATTTGATCACCTGTGCGCTTTTTATTTTTCACGCTATAAACAAAAAAAGGCCAAAAATTTTGAAGAAAAACAATATTTTTTATTTTCAGCTATAAAAAATATATAGTAAACTCAAAGTTGGTTATAAATTTAGGCCAAAATGTATTCTGCTCCATGTTTTTGGTAAAAAAAATCCCAATAAGTGTATATTGATTGCTTTGTGTGAAAGTTATAGCGTCTACAAACTATGGTATAAATACTGCAATTTACGCCATTTTTCTGCTATACAGCGCTGCGCTAGTTTAACGGACAATTGCGCGGTCATGCAATATGGTACATAAATGAAATTTACATCCTTTTTTTTCCCACAAATTGAGCTTTCTTTCGGTGGTATTTGATCGCCTGTGCGGTTTTTTATTTTTTGTGCTATAAAAAAAAGGCTGACAATTTTGAGGAAAAAAAAAACAATATTTTGGACTTTTTGCTATAAAACATGTCCAGTAAAAAAAAATGCAAAATTCAAATATAGTCATAAATTTCTGCCAAAATGCATTTTGCGACATGTCTTTGCTAAAAAAAAAAAACAATACGTGTAAATTAATTGGTTTATGTGAAAGTTATAGCGTTTACAAATGGCGGGAAAGAAACTGGGATTTTTAGGGTTTTTTTTTATACTAATAATGGCGGCGATCAGGGACTTATGGCAGCGACCAGTGACTTATGGCAGGACTGCGGGACTGCGGCGGACATGTTGACATTGGGGGGTACTGACTTGGGGTCACTGACATCCCCAAAAACACTAATACAGTGATCAGTGCAAAAAAAAAAAACTGACACTGTACTAATGGCACTGGGGAGGAAGGGGTTAACTTTATTTTGCAGGGAAGGGTTATAGCAGTGAGGGGAGTGTTTTACTAGGGGGCGGGGGTGTGTGCTGGACAGGACAAGGCTGATCGAGAAAGAGAAACTCTTCTGTCTCAATCAGCTCGTCCTCGAGCTGACAGGGAAGTGACAGACAGCACAGCTACTGCAGCTGTGCTCTCTGCCACCGATCGCCGGGACATAGCCGCTAAGGAGCGGCTGTGACACGGCGACTGACATCTGCGGCGGTGATCCGTGAGACAAATAGGGCTGCGGTGCGCATCGCGGGCGCCCCCCTATTTGTTTACAAAACACATGTTTTAAAACGTGGTTTTGCCTGTGAGTGCCGCCCTGCCACCGTATATGTACAGTGGCTGGGCGGCATGTGGTTAAAATCGTTTAATTCGTTTTTGGAATCTGTTTAGTTTTGGTTTGTTCATTCATTTTCTAATTCGATTTGAATTTTCTGAAATCAATCAAACTGAATTCTATTCCACCAAATCGAAAAGCATCAAATTTATTCTATTTGAATTTCAGAAGACGGATATATTCTATATAATGCGATTGTTGTTTTTTTTCTATTCTATTCTTTTCTCTTCTAATCTATTCTATTCAAATTTGAATTCATTTATTCGAAATGTGAATTTCGGAAGACAGTTATATTCTTTCTATTTTATTCTA